AAACATTAAACTTTCTGGAAGATAAATTAGGTAGAACTCTTGAAGATATTGACATAGGAAAAGACTTTATGAACATATTCTCAGTGACACAGGAACTAGCACTAAGAATCAACAACTGGGATCTCATCTTTTTAAAAAGCTCCTGCACTGCAAGAGAAACCGCCAACAGAGCTATGAGACAGCTTACAATGTGGGAAAAAATCTTTTACCAGCTGTTCCTCAGACAAAGGTCTACTATCTAGAATATATAAAGAACTAAAAAAAAAAAAAATCACACCCTCCAAATGTAAAGACCTGATTCAAAAAGGGGCATCTGAAATGAATAGATATTTCTCAGACATAGAAGAAAAAGCAGCAAATAAACATATGAAAGAATGTTCAACATCATTGGTCATTCGGGAGATGCAGATGAAAACAACACTGAGATCCCACCTCACCCCAGAAGAATGGCTGCTATCCAGAAATTAACCAATAACAAAGGCTGGCAATATTGTGGGAAGAAAGGAACCCTTCTTCATTGTTACAGGGAGTGCAGACTGGTGCAACTACTGGAAATCAGTATGAAGATAACTCAAAAAACTAGGGTTAGAAGTCCCATTTGACCCAGCTATCCCTGTGCTGGGTATCTTCCCAAAAGAATTAAAAGGATCATATCACAGTGATATATACGCACCCATGTTTATAGTGGCCCAGTTTGTAATAGCTAAAATGTGGAAACAGCCCAGTTTCCCAGCAACTGGAGACTTGATAAAGAAGATGCATTTCTCTTTATAAAATGGATTACTAATCAGCCATAAAGAATGAGAAACTAGAGTCACTTATAGCTAAGTGGATGCATATTGAGGCTACACTTTGAAGTGAAATTAATAAGACACATGTACATACCGAATAGTTTCTCTGGTGTCAAAAACTAAAAGTGTAAATAGGGATCAAAATGTATAATTGATAGTGTGTAATAGGAAGAAAAGGTCTAAAGGAATAAGGGAAGTTGGAGAGGAAGAGGAAAGGTAAGAGGGAAAAGAAAAAAAAATGAGAAAAGGAAAAGCATGGAATCAATGTCTTTGTAAACGGGTGGAGAGGGTGAAAGGAGGACCGGGAAATGGGAAAGTAAAGCATTGCTCAACAATGACAGAGCGTAAGATGGAGTTAACTATGACATTCATCCAGTGTCAAGTTGCCAAAAGATTTTTTTAAGTAGTTCTTCAAATCAATGAAATATGATGAGTGGTAGGAACAATGACAGAGGACCTGCACAGACTTAGGCAGTAGTTGCCCTTCCCATCTGCCTTTCCAGTTAACCAAGGTCAACCGTGGTCTGAAAATACTAAATGGAAAATTCCAGGACGAAGCAGTTTATATATCTTAAATAACTTTTATCATGCTATGTCATTATATAATTGTTCTATTTTCTTATGAGTTGTTGTTAATCTCTTGCTGTGCTTAATTTATAAATTAAACTTTTTTGTGGTGCTGGGAGGTGAACCTTCACACTGAGCTACACCCCCAGTCTTTTTTTTTTTTTTTTTTACTTTGAGACAGGGTTTCACTGAGTTACTATGTTTTCCAGGCTGCATTTGAACTTGTGATTTTCCTACCTCAGCCTACCAAAGTGCTGGGAATACAGGTGGGCTCCACCATGCCCAACTAAAGTCAAGCTTATGATAGGTATGTTTCAATAGAAAAATATAATGTGTATCTATCTGTCTATCTATCTATCTATCTCTCTATCTATGTATCTATCTATATGGGATACATAGGTTCAGTACTTTCCACAGTTTCACACATCTACAGGAGGTCTTGGAACAAACCTCTAGCAGATAAGGGGGAACTACTATATATAAAGAAGTACAGGTATTTAAAAAACGCTCAATTTGGTTTAACCTTCAGTACAGTAAAAATTGAGGATGTAATTCCTTTTCAGTGAACCTGAGGTGGGAGTGACTCTAACATTTGAGGACCTAGGAGTTAGAGGTCACAGTGAATGATGATCCATGGCCTGGGTCACTTTGCACAAAATGAACTTGAAGAGGGAAAGGTGGCCACTATGGGCATCTTGATGTTAAATACTATGGCACATATTGTTGGTAAAGAGATCGAGTCAGTCTCTGGGGGTTTGTAGTAAATGGCTGTTTTTGCTGTAAACTTTTAGCATTTATATTATTTTTCTGCACTTTCCTTTTTTTCCAACATTCAGCTCCCATTTACAAATCACCAAAACACATTTAAAATGTTTTGGCTACACAGTTTGGGGTTGGCAATTATATTTTCAACATTGAAAATACTACTCTATGGTTTTCTGCATTTTATTGTTGCTTTTGAGATATTTACCCTTAGTCTCATTAGACTATTTATTCTTGTAGGTGATTTGTCTCTTCTCTCTGAGTACTTAGAAATCTGCTTGTCTTTGATGTTCTGCAGTTTTATTGTGATGTGTTTAGGTGTGGATTTTATCTGTCCTAGCTTATCTCTGTAGAGTCATGTCTTTCATATATTCTGGATTATTCTCAATCTTTACTCTTTGAATACTGCTTTTCTTTCATTTTCACTGTTCTCTCTTTCTGAACTTCAAATAAACATATGTTAGAAAAACTCACATATTATCCATATCGCTAATGCCCTCATATCCTTGTCTATCTCTTTATGCTGCTCTTTAAGTAATATTTTCAGATGTATCTTGTAGTTCATTAATTTTCCCATCACTCTCTCCAATGCCATATGCATTTAGACAAACATTTCTCTCTTTTTCTATGGAGATGTAATTTACATACCATACACTTCACCACTTAAAGTCTACAGGTCAATGATTTTTAGTATATTCGGAGTTCTATAACTACCACCACAGTCACTTTTAGAGCTTTCTCATCCTACCCAAAATAAATCTCATATCCATCTACTGCCATTCTCCATTTCTGTGTAGTATCTCCTGGCCCCTACTTATCCTAGGCCACCACAAATCTCCTTTATGTCTTAACTGACTTGTTTACTGAGAATACTTACAAGTAAGCGGAACCATACACTATATGGTCTTTTTTTTTTTTCATTCTAATTCCCAACTCCCATTTAAGTAATCTTGTAACTGACCCTGTAAAATAGAACTTTAAAATAGGTTTTTCTTTGTAGAGATGAACAGGTTCTCCAAACCCCACTCCTAGCAATAACCAACACCTCGGTCTTCCTTCAGCCTAAAAGAAGTGACAGGGTCTACAGATGTGAGCCTTCCTACTAAGAGGAGCAGATCTGCATTGTTTCCTTACTCCCCTCCCTCCGTCCCTAATCCATCTGTACACAAGGAGAGGGGGGTTTAAGGAAGTGAGCCCCTCCATCTCCTCAGAGCTAGCTTTGAATAAACTCTTTTCCTTTTTACTCAAATATATGGCTTCCTTTGATTTGGTCAGTGGTGAGAAGTTGAATCTGAGTGTAGGAGCCTAAATGGCTGGTAACCATCTGTTGAGCTTTTGCTTTAATACAGTACTTGTATCTCTGATTTCTGTAACTTTTGTCATTCTCATTTTCAATTTACCTGATCTTTTGACCCTCTCTTGTTGGCTTTGTGACTCTACCTTTAAATATTTCACTTTTAGTTTTGCTATTTTCCGATTTTAGCAGAGGAAGTCCTTGTGCTTCTAAATCTGCGACTGCTGATTCGTACTCATGGGAGCTTGCAAGCTTCCTTGCATATTTGGTGATCTTGGATTGAAAACTGACATTTCATCTTCATTTGTAGGAAGTCTGAGGTTTTAAGAGAAATTACACAAGCATGTACACCAGCTGAGGTGCTTGAGACACAGCCGCATTCAAGGAGCTGGTGGTGTCTTTAGTGGAGGCGCTGGGTTTCAACCGCAAGCCTTTTGCTGGTCACAGGTCTGGTCGTGGAATTTGCCTCCATTTCCACGCATGCGCGCGCATGTGCACAGGTTAGCTCCCCACAACAAATGAGAAAATGAAGGCACAGGAACACTAGATGACTAGAATGAGGAGGTGAAACCCAAGCAGCCTGCCTCTTTTCCATTATCCTGACTGCAAAGAGATGAAGCGTTCAGGATCATTTAGGACTTGGCACAGAGATCCTGTTTATGGAGGAACTGGCTGCAACAGCCAGGGGCTAATGAAGCCAGGGGCCAGCCTTTCTGGTATGGTCATTGCAGCGGAGGCTTAACAGTGGGTCCAGGGTTTCTCTGAGGTTTTGTTTGTTTGTTTGTTTGTTTTCTGGTTGGAAAAAGGCTTAAAAATCTAACTCTCGGTGCAAGAGTCTCCTGACTGCATCTGTGCTGACAGGCTCGAAAATCAATGCCACAGTTGCTACAAGGGCATGACGCTAGCGGTTTTGGTGCATTTTCGGCTTGACCAGGAAACTGAGACTAGAGTAGAGACCCCACCTTTAGCTTGATCCAACAACGGCATGAAATTGAAGGTTAAGTGTGAATACACAGTTGTCAGCATCCGGAGACTCTAAGTGATATCCACGGAGGACCAATCACAAACAATCTGTCCCAAGGAGGAAAGGCGGGTCGCTCTGCAGAGGCAAACCCTGGTGCTCCTCAAGGATTGTCTCTGACTCGGTGACTTCCTTAACAGTAAGTGTACTGTTTATACTGAGCTGGACGGTGTTTCAACAAAGCCGCCTTCCATACTTACCTCTTCGAATCCACAGGTCAATCTTGCAACTTCAGCACTATTATCCCCCATTCACGAATGAGGAAACCAAGACGCCACAACCAGAAGAGATATGGACCCTAGGAGCCCAGCTCTGGGAACAGCCTTAGGCCTTGGGGGTCCCCTCCCACCCAGGAGTATCCCTTTGGCATCCTTTCTTTACCACAAAGGCAAGAGGAGCATCAGCTGGCAGGCCTGCAGCAACCCAAGGACCAAAGACACACCAATCTCCCAGGGGCCTGTGGATTTGCATGTGTTCCCTGCTGTGCGACTCTGAGAGTTCTCAGCAATCACAGAGAGAGCCAGCTGGGTGGGTGGCGGCAAAGGGGAAGGGGGACAGAGTTTACCTTCACTGCTTCCCAGCTGGAATTCACCAGGTGCTGTAGAAAGCGTCCGAAACCTGAAACCAAATGTACCCAGGTTTGCCCAAGCCAGGGTGCACCACTGAAAGAATCTCTGACTGCTTCCCAGGCCATTTTGGACTCTGGGCTACTCCTGCGCCTTGCCACTCTGGGGCAACTTCAGGGAAAGAAGGTCCAATCACGGCCATCTAGGAGGACTGGGGGTGTATGTGTACATAAATATCTGATTGAAATGCAGGCTTTGTAAAGAAGCAGAGATAGACCCACAAGAATGTGTTCAATTGTTTGTCAACAACAGTGCAAAAGAAATTCCACAGAGTAACTAGAAAATGGGGAAAAGACAGGAAGAGACTTTCCACAGAAGAAGGTGTTAGCACATTAGCACCTGAAAAAAAGCTCAACAGCCTCAGCTAACAGGAAGAAGTAACCGAAAACAATCCTGAGGCATCACAACACAGCTATCCAGGTGGCTAAAATAAAAATACTCATCACACCAAATGCTGGTGAGGACAAGGAGGAGCTGGGTCACACACATGTTGCTGTCAAGAATGTAAAATGGTAGTGTCGTTTTGGAAAGGAGTGTTTGCTTTAAAACAGAAAGTGGAGTGTCCAGCATTTGCACACCTGGACTATTTTACTCAGAGAAATGAAAACTGGTTTTCACATAGGAACTTACATAGGAATGTTCACAGCAGTTTTCTTTGTAGTAGGCCAAGTCTGGAACCTACCCTAATGTTCATCAATGGCTTAATAACTAAACTGTGGTTTGTTCATGCCATGGAATAACACTCAACAGCAAAAAGAAAGGAATAAAATGGAAACTACCCACATGTCCATTAACTGATGAATGGAAAACAAAATGTAGTCGAATCCATACAATGGAATATTATTGGCAATAAAAAAGAAATGAATTATTAATACATGTTACAACACAGAGGAACATTGAAAACATGATAAGTGAAAGAACCCTGTCACAAGGGATGACATTTTTGTATGATTCCATTTATATAAAATGACCAGCCTGGGCAAATTCACAGAGACATAAAGTAAATTGGTGGCTGCATAGGGCTGCATGTATGTTAAAGGGGATATGGGCAGTGACGCCTAAGGGGACCAGAATGTTTTTTTTGGTGTACTGAATTTGTTCTACAATTGACTGTGAAAATAAATCATTGACTCTGAAGCTATGAAGAGCTACCAAAGTATACACTTTAAACAAGTGACTTGTATAACAGCAAATTCTATCTCAGTAAACCTATTAAATGCTTTAAGTGAAAGAACTCTTGATAACACACAAGAACCTGGATGAACCTCCAAAGTTACTCTGACTGAAAAAAAGCCATTCTCAAAAGCACATATACTGTATGATCCCCTTTATGCCATATCCATAAAATATAATAATTATGGAGACAAAGCACAGATTCATGCTTGTCAGATGCTAGTGCTGGGGTTGGGGAGTGCGGGAGGCTGTAAAATGGTGGTATGAAGGAGCTCTGAGGTGAGAGTAGAGTTGTATGTGTTGATTGTGGTTGTGGCTACAGGGACCTACCTGTGTGACAGATGCAAGTAAACACGCTGAATTATACTAGCATCAATGTCCTGGCTTTGATATTGAAGATGGGAACATCAGGAGAGATTAGGTGAAGGATACAGGGGACCTGTCTGTATACGTTTCTTTGCAAATTCCTTTGAATCTATAATTATTTTAAAATAAAAGCTTTTAAAACTGTGGCTACTTAGGAGGGAGGCCAGTTGCGGTTTGCTGGGCCAGTGGGAGCCTGGGTCACTGATCTCAGAGTAGTCTGCAGACCCAGGCCACAATCTGTCATGCAGCTTTATCTGGTGTACAGTTGAGGACCTGAGCTTTGTTATCTGACTCCCATGATGTGTTTCTCAACTCATACAAATTCTGAGATGGGGAAAGAGGGGAGATGAAACATCAACCTCTGAAGCCCCAAATCCTGGGACCACCAGCCTTTAGAGAAGGAGTCAGTTCTGGAGAGGAGCTCCAGTGAGGCTGTGGCAGTTCCTGCACATCTGGGTCTAGGCTCACTATGGAAGCTCACAGGGGGCAAACTTCTCAGGGTACAGAAACACTTCCAACAGGATGTGCCAGAGTTATCTTCTGATTTGGACTGAATGCTAGAGAATAAACACCACAGTTGCTGCCATGGGTAAAACCAACTATGAAAAATAGTACTCAGGCAGGGCGGTACATGTCTGTAGTTCTAGCTGCATAGAGGCTGAGGCAGGGCAATCAAATGTTTGAGGCCAGCCTGGGCAACTTAGCTAGATCCTGCCTCAGAATGAAAAATAAAAAGGGTGGGGTGTGTGTGTGTGAGTGCTGAGCTATGCTGGGTGTTGTGGCGCATGCCTGTAATCTCAGCACTTGGGAGGCTGAGGCAGGAGGATCGTTGTGAGTTTGAGACGAGCCTGGGCTACATACATAGTCCAGGTCAGTCTCATTTACATAGTGAGACCCTGTCTCAACCCCCTCCAAAAAGAGTGCTGGTCTAGCATGTGCCCTGGGATCAATCCCCAGTACTGAAGAAAGGAAGGAAGGGACGAAGGGAGGGAAGGAAGAAATGAAAGAGAAAATATTGGAATTAAGGGAAAAATGAATAAGAAGCCAGGTACCTCCTAAGATAATAAAAATGCACCAACACACACACACACACACACACACACACACACACACAATCACATTCTGTTTTAGAATCCTGTTCAGATCAGCAAAAGTTACATCTCTTATCTATGAAAAAATTAGGAAAAACCGGTCAACAAGAGAAGGTTTAACGCTCCCTTTTTGCCAGGCTGGACGTCACTGTCAGCTCCCCAGCCCGGATGGTACTTGCCAAGGGGCGCTGAAGGGATCTTTGGGAGTGGGGCGGCCCTTGGGGCGGCCAGGTGTTGGTGAGCCTCTCCCTGTGATTGAGGGTGGTTGTCAGAGCACCTTGATCTCCAGGCAATGTGTCAGCGCCCTGGCTTTCCCACGTCTGGTCGTCTCCGCGCCAATTGTCTTGGTGAGATTTGCGCATGAAGCAAATCCACTTAAGTGAAGAGACTGTCCCTGGCAGATCAGAACATTTCCAATAAAGGAGGCCACACTCTGAAATCATCAGGTATTACTCCATCGCGCCATCTACTGTCAGCCAGCAGAACCGCAGGCTGACAAGGCAAGGGCAGGGGTCTGTGTGAGACTCCTCCGGGGGGCCAGGGTTCTCAGGGCCAATTTCATTCCTGACACTGACAAGGAGCTGAGCTTCCTTAGGAATTCCAGTGCAATCTGAACCACTCAGCCTCTAATCCCAAAATAACACGAAGAACGAGGGAGCTAAAAGGGCTTCCCAGGGATTTTCTTTTTCTTTTCTTTTCTTTTTTTTTCCTTCAGAAGGTAGATAGAAGTGTGAATTACAGTCTGAAAATGTTACAAGCAACAACTTTCCATTAAGATAGGTGACTTTTACCATGCAGGAATCCTCGCCTTATCTCCTCTGTTTCCTTTGCCCAAAACAACTCAAGAAACTTGGAATGTTAGTTGGTGTGGTGGCATTCACCTGTAATACCAGTTCGCTGGGAGGCTGAGGCAGAAGGATTGCAAGTTTGAGCTCAGCCTGGGCAATTTAGAGACTTAGCGAGACTTTGGCTCAAAATAAAAATTAAGAAAAGGGGAGAACGTTGGGGATCTAGCTCAGTGCAAAGGCCTTGGATTCAATCCCCAGTACGGGGAAGGGGGAGGAGAAAAAAAGAAATTTAAAATGTGTCAAATGTGCCTAACTAAAAATAGATAAGTAAAGACCTAAATAAATAAATAAAGAGCTTGGTGTCTAACTAAAAATAAACAGAGAGCTTTATGAAGAAAGATCAAGTCCTCAGGGACCAGCTGTGTCGATGACGTGTGAGGCACTTGTAGCCGGGTGACTTTGGATAGGCTGCTGGGACAGCAAGCAGCCATCCTTTCTTCCCAGTTGAGCTTTTGGGGTTTCAGAGACACCAGAGGGCTCCAGGGAGGAAGCGGAGTCTCAGAACCCCCATCGCAGGGAGAGCTGTCTCCTGGGAATGGGGGCTGCGTGGCTCTTGGAAGGACAAGGGATAGCCTGGCGAGTGTCCTGTCCTTTCTGAGCACGCAGGTTTCTCTTTGCTGTGAAATGTATCCCAAACGTGTGCCCACCGGGTCCAAGCCTCAGGGACAGCGGGTGCCAGCCTTGGCTTCTTCCCCAGGGGCTGAAGGACAGACAAGGTCAGAGCCTAAACCCGAGAGGGCGCCTTCACGCGCGCCACGCAAGTTATCTGCAGCGTGTGAGCCACAGAGGCAGGAAAGCTCTGTCCCTGCCTGGTTTTTCCTAGGACAGATCAGGCTTCCAGGGGGCTGTGCATGACCAGGACCCTGCGCGTGCGTGTTCCAGGGGCAGCGGAAGGCAGCGGCAAACCCGAAAGCAGGGAGAATCAGTCTTACCCGTCACCACGACGCAGCTGGGCTGCGGGTCCATGCAGCCGACTCGGGGAGCGCGTCCAGTCCCGGAGCTGGGCTAGGGGGGCCCGGGGCTC